AACCCCCTTCCCCTCCCCCTTTTCTGATGAAGGGTCTAGGCCCGAAACGTCAGCTTCTCTGCTCCTATGATGCTGCTTGGCCTGCTGTGTTCATCCAGCCTTGCACCTTGTTGTCTCGGATTCTCCAGCATCTGCAGTTCCTACTATCTCTGCTAAATAAATCTGCTGAATGATCTGAGACTTATGGCCACAATTGCACTTCAGGTTAGCCCTCCTTTTGAATGCAACCATTTGCTTCATAATATCTTGTGTAAATTTGATTGAATACTGCCCAAGTCCATTAAGGAAGGTGGAGGGACCTCTGCTCTTCAAAATTGTGTTGGTTCTTTTCCTGTATCTAAATTCTGCTAATTAGTGAGTTAAATTGCTTCCTTCTAACTTTTCTTGATCGCAGCTGTTTGTTACACTGTGCAATTCCTTTAACATTGCTGTACATGTCCACCTTAAAGGGACCTATGTGTGTGCATAGCCTCTCTGTCCTGATGCACAACTCTATAAGAATATTGCATGTTGAGCAGCCTAGGGGATTTATTGGTTATCAGCTAGAATGGCTTGTGTAATCTTCAGTGCTCTTATCATGTGGTTTTTAATTCTTTATGAATTAAGGTCTACTGTGCTCCTGATTGTTCTTTCTCCATGAGCATAATGCTCTGCCTGCCATTGACATCAGAGTTACAATAATATTAAAGATAGACTACTTCATGTTTCATTTCCATGGCTGACTTGATGCCTGGGACTTTCATGGCCTGAATTTTTTAATAAAGGATCAAAGTGCTTAATGGCTACAGGGATTACCTGAGCTGCACAGGTCAGTTTTGATACTTGGCTAACATTGGTCTGAACAATGACCATCTGAGCTGAAATTAACACTTTCACCCAAGAGTAATGAAATCAGTCATTCGGACCTCAGGTGAAGTGTGAAAATGCCCTCATGTTTCATTTTAAATGATTACACATCATCACATTTTGGTGATGAAATGTCTTCAAAGATTAGTGTTTTCAATCTGCAGCCAAGGAATATGCAAACAGTTTCTATTTCAAGGGGATTTTTGGTAAACCAAGAAAGATGAAATTAAGAGTGCTGACTTTTTGGACCATGTGTGCTCTCACCATCACTTTTAAACACACGAGGGTTTATGCTTGGCTGTTTCCTATTTCTCATCAGTACTTTGCTCCTCAGTAATGAAATCTGGATGAGTGAACATTTCCAATTATACATTAGGAATACTGGAGCCAATGCTTTCCAAATTCTGTTCTCCAGCTACTGACACCATCCCTCTCGTTGGCAACTATTTGATACTAAACTGAGCTGTTTGTAACCTTGCAAACATGAATTAAGCTCAAGAATAGGCCATTCAGCCCTTTCAAGTCTGCTCTGCCATTTAATAAGATCATGGTTGATGATGTTGTGGCCTCAACACCATTTTCCTGCCTACTCCAATACCCTTCGACTTCTGTGTTAGACGTGATGTCATGTTGGATGCCATATTTGATCCAAGAATATCTTGCGACCATATAGACCACCAATTTCCACTTCTGTAACTTTGCCCCTATCTTGGCCCATCGGCTACCAAAATCTTATTCGAGCGTTCATTACCTCCAGACTTGACTGTTTCAGCAGACGCTGAGTAGTATCCCACACTTTACTATCTGTAAATGTGAACTCAAACTACTCAAACTTTCATCAAGTCTTGTTTCCCCTAACATTCTTGAACCTGCTGCACAACATTGGCTCCTGGTCAAGCAATGTTTTGATATTTTTATTTAATTTATATATTCTATGTTTTAATGTTGTCATCCTTTTCAAATTCCTCCAGGGACCTGTTCCTCCCTATCTCTAATCTCCTCTAGCTCCATGGCCCTCTGATATCATCACTCATCTAATTCCAACCTCTTCACCAAACTTTAACTGCTGCACCATTAGTGGGTATTCATCAATGCCCAGGTCCTGAGTTCTGGAATTCTTCCTAGCTGTCTTTCTGTCTGATATTTTTCCTTTATGACATTCCTAAACTTGCATCATCTGACCTAATGTTGTTTCATGTGTTAGGTCTAGTTCTGTTTTGCACCTGTGAAGTGCTTGGGCTATTTTATTGCACTAAAAGGCACTACGGATTGTAAACTGTAGTAGTAGGACCGAAATGGAAGGAGTGCACTGTCTTTCTCTTGTCCCACTACATGGGTCACAACGTAAATGTAATTGTATTACCTGATTCCTGATATTGCTAAAAATATGCTTTCCATGAACTTAGAACGTGAAGATCCGTCAACCGGTTTTCTGAAATAAATACACTATCATTGTTATGTGTTTGTTTTATAATGAATTGAAAATGCAGAATTGGTTAATGCACATAGTTTATAATATGAAAATATGAATGTTTATCCCTCTGAATAATCCAGGACATGTGTAAACATGAGTTAAAGGGGGAAAAATTATTTCTTGTTAGAGACTTACTTTGGGGGAAAGAAGATTTTTGGCAAATAAGTCTTGGTTCTTGAAGGCATAAAGAATAAGGTTTTAAGGTGTTCAGATGGCTGTTGATCTGATATTTTGTTGCTGGGATATTTGTAGACACAGCTGTTCAGGAAACCTCAATTAACACTTTTAGATCCTCCTTATACGAAAGTACCAGGACTAGGGATCTAGACACCATACTGGACACACAACAATGATTCATTTCCAGAAACAGAAGGAACTGGGATGGGAACCTCTTTCTTTGAACAGGCTGATCAGTTACTCCAAATGACATCCAATCCATAAAGAAGACATTAAACTCCTAAATGCAATACTGGTCTGACTGAGCTTGTGTGTATCAGATTGAAGGGCCATTAAGAGCGCTATGTTTCATTTACCAGTACTAACTTTTTTGAGTTACCAGAAGGAAAAAAAAGTTTTTTTTTTAGATAAAAGGTAATACTTGAAAATTAATGTACTGCTTCTCCATATTTTGAAGCATACAAGGCTGGCCTGACTAGTATATGTCACTTGTCAGGTCAAGAGCCCTTTCTTCCACTGGGAAAGCATACCTTGTTAAAAAAAATTGCAATACCCATTCATTGACTTCTTAAAAAGAAATAATACGGTTATCCACAATCTTCAAACCCACTCCACAAATATGTTTATATATGAAGTCTTTATAACAGTTGTTCCAAAATGCTGCTTAAGCCTATAGGCCCTGGATTAGGTTGATTTTGACATGCTCGATGTAGTGTCAGCAGAATGATAATACCCTCAAAATATGATCAACATTCTTAATGCCTTAACAACAACAACAAAAGCAGAAGTTGCTGGAAAAGCTCAGCAGGTCTGGCAGCATCTGTGAGGAAAAATCAGAGTTATCGTTTTGGGTGTGATGACCCTTCCTCAGAATTAATACCTTGTTAACTATGAGGTTGCCTCCAGTGTATAATGGACCTCCTATATGCTGTCCAAAGTGCCTTTTCAGGCCATAGGCTCTTTTAACGTGAAAATCAAAGACATTTGAAGTAAAAAAAAATCAATTGAAATTAGTTGGAATATATGCTCTGCAGGTTCTCATCAATTCAATAGGTAATAGAGCTGAAGATGCCCCAAGGTCAGCTTAAACTTAGTCTTATGGAGCATATAGAGCCTGCTGCCCTGGGACTGACTACCTCAACTTACTTAGGTAGCAGCCACAGCGTTCAAAATCAAATGATTTACATCAAGACATCTGATTGGTGCATATGCACGTGCACCTCACAAGCGTAATACTCAGCCTCTTTATTTTGAATGTGAGTGAAGTGCAGGCATCAAAAAGTTGTCAGTAAGTAGGATTGCTCAATTACTTGAAACCTTCAGGACGTGAAATTAAACTGCAGCCCAGTTAAACAAATGTTGAAGATTCCATGGCAATATTTAAGGGAGAACATGCAGTCCTAGTCTCCTGCCAAACATTGCCACTTCAAACAACACAAAATTAATCAGTTAACTGGTCACTGTGGTTGTATCTTGTTGTACACAAAATTGTTTCTGTATTTACCAAATGCCAAAAAGGTACAGTTTCATTCCTAATGAAGTCTTTTTAGAAGTTTTGAGAACATTATAAGCTGCTATATAAATTCAATCATCATCTTAAATGCATTAATTAATTAGCGGGTTCAGGAAAATACGCAATACCAACACATTTTTGTCTGAATGTTGTCAAGGATCCATATTCTGAAATACACGTCGATGTATACACACTGTTGCATAACAGCTGAAATACTATAGTATTTCATATATGGGATTAC